GAGACACTACATACTGATATACACCTGACATCAGCAGGAGAGGACTCTTTAAAGTAGAGACACTACATACTGATATACACCTGAACATCAGCAGGAGAGGACTCTTTAAAGTAGATACTGTACACTACATACTGATATACCCCTGAACATCAGCAGGAGAGGACTCTTTAAAGTAGAGACACTACATACTGATATACACCTGAACATCAGCAGGAGAGGACTCTTTAAAGTAGAGACACTACATACTGATATACACCTGAACATCAGCAGGAGAGGACTCTTTAAAGTAGAGACACTACATACTGATATACACCTGAACATCAGCAGGAGAGGACTCTTTAAAGTAGAGACACTACATACTGATATACACCTGAACATCAGCAGGAGAGGACTCTTTAAAGTAGAGACACTACATACTGATATACACCTGAACATCAGCAGGAGAGGACTCTTTAAAGTAGAGACACTATATACTGATATCCACCTGAACATCAGCAGGAGAGGACTCTTTAAAGTAGAGACACTACATACTGATGTATTTTGTTTACTGGTGTCTCTGTTTTAGGAGGTGTTTGGTATGAAGTGATCACCTTTGGAGCTCCAGCTGATCATCACCAGGGTTTCAAACATGGAGGATTGAAGAAGCTGCTCAGCAAACACTCACACCTCAGAGACAGGTGAGTTAAATCTCGAGGAAATCTACATATTTTCTCTCAAATTTGACTTTTATTATCTCAGAGAATACACGTTATTTTGCGTTTTTTAAAATTTATTTAAAAAAATATTTCTGCTAATTTTACTTAATTATTATTTAATATATGTAGAATATATTAGTGGCTATTATTTAATACTTTTTTCTATATTTATAACATATTTAGAATTTTTTATCCGTGAGTTTTTTTCTTAAATGTATGCGTTTTAATTCCCCCTATTTCTTTTTATTTAAAATGTATTTTTATATTATGTTATCGCAGATAACGTCCTTTAAAGCAACATTTAATATTATTTATTTTGTTCTTTCCAGCGTTGTGTCTTACTCCCAGGAGGAGAGCTCCAGAGCCAGGGAGCTTCTGGCTAACGTTGCCCAGCTGCAGCCTCTCGTTTTCGGACTCGCTGAGGAGCTGCTCTCCGTCTCTCTGGAGCAAAACAACGCCCGACTGCAGCCGGTGCTCCACAGCCTCACGCAGCAAGTGAGGAGGAAACATTTATAAATAGATGTTTAATCAAATGTAGAATTAATATTTAGGATTTATTTGTTAAAATGTTGATATTTATATACAAAAAAAAAACATTTAATTTCAGATTTTTTTACTTTTTATTTCTTTCTTTTAAATGTGTATATTTGACCTCAGGGAATTGCAAAATTTGTTTTTAATTGTGATCTTCTTTGTAAAATGTACAGATAGTTTTCTGGCAGATCTAATTTTAGAATTTTAGAGAAAATACAGTAATTATTTTGGACTTTTACAAACTTTTTTCTCACGCAGACGAAGCAGTTTGTCCACGCTTTAAAAGACGAGCTGGTGAAGAGCGCCTTGATAGCGAGCCACGACCATAGCAACCTATGTGAAGACTCAACAGCCAATCAGGAGTGGGTGTTGACACCGGGGCAACAGGACGCCTGGCAACAGGAGGCAGATTACGACGAGGAGGAATGGGTAAGAGTGTGAGAGTTAATTTAATTACTGTTTTCACAAATAAATAAATGAATGTTTAGAAAATATGTATTTATGTTCTAATTTAATCAAATGTGTGTGTGTGTGTGTGTGTGTGTGTGTGTGTGTGTGTGTGTGTGTGTGTGTGTGTGTGTGTGTGTGTGTGTGTGTGTGTGTGTGTGTGTGTGTAGGACAGGGCGTGGGCGAATGTCGGCATGAGCCTCAACTGCATCATCGCCATGGGTGACCGGCTGCTGGGGAAAGAGGAAGTGACATCATCAGGGAACCAAGAATCAGATCACTCCCAGAACACCGGTGGGACGATATTTTATATACTGAAAACGACTAGAATTGATCGTGTGTTGCTTCATGAGGAGTCTAGCCCAGGAGTTATTAAATGAACCACAAAGGTTGATTTGAGGGAATGTACCTCACTATGCTCAGTAGTGTTGGAGTCAAGACATCCTTAACCAAGACCAAGACTTTAAGAGGCCAAAACCAAAGTCAAGACCAAGACTTTAAGAGTTTGAGACCAAGTCAAGACCAAGACTTTAAGAGTTCAAGACCAAGTCAAGACCAAGACTTTAAGAGTTCAAGACCAAGTCAAGACCAAGACTTTAAGAGTTCAAGACCAAGTCAAGACCAAGACCAAGACTTTAAGAGGCCAAAACCAAAGTCAAGGCCAAGACTTTAAGAGTTCGAGACCAAGTCAAGACCAAGACTTTAAGAGTTCAAGACCAAGTCAAGACCAAGACTTTAAGAGTTCAAGACCAAGTCAAGACCAAGACTTTAAGAGTTTGAGACCAAGTCAAGACCAAGACTTTAAGAGTTCGAGACCAAGTCAAGACCAAGACTTTAGGAGTTTAAGTCCATGCCAAGACCAGAGTGTGCCAAGACCAAGACTGTAACAGTTTGAGACCATGACAAGATCAGAGTGTACCAAGACCAAGACTTTAAGAGTTCGAGACCAAGTCAAGATCAGAGTGTGCCAAGACCAAGACTTTAAGAGTTTGAGACCAGGCTAAGACCAAGACCAAGGCAGGGCGAGACCGAATCAAGACCAAGACTTTAAGAGGTCGAGACCAAGACCAAGACAGGGTGAGACCGAATCAAGACCAGAAGCAAGACTTAAGGTTGTAAACTGTATGGATAAAAGCGATACTACAACTCAAGATGGAAGTGTATTTAGAGAAATGGTCTAACTGTTATAAGGTAATTAGCGAAACGAACATATTGTAAACCTCTCATTGGACTCTCTGTATGTCTCATACTTCTGTAATGATAATTGCTTTTGTATATTGAACTCCTTCAGCCTCCTGGCAGGAGCAGCTGCTCCCCCTGGTGGTGACTCTGAGGGACTGCGTGAGGGAGGCAGAGCTTAAGGCCCGCGTTGCCATGACGTTCGTAATGATGCAGGCGGCGGCGGCCATGACGGTTTCTGAGGGAACGACAAACATCGTGCAGCGACGCCACGCCGCGTTCAGCCAGGCGGTGAGAGGAGGAGCTAATGAAGTATAGAATAATTATACAGATTAATGCTTTTTGTTTTTAGTGTACTATTATTTGTTTTGCATACTTGTATTGTTTAAATAAGTTGTACCTTTCTCTATGATCTCATTTGCACTGGCAAAATCTGTGCATAAAAACGTTGTAATCATTTATAATATTCAAGTTTTTTCTCGTAAAGTTGGTGATTTAATCAAATTAATTTCCAATATTTTTCCCAAACATTTTCTTATTTAATTTGTTCTTATTTTATGTTTTTTCTTGGATCATTTATTTTGTTTTATTTTTTAATCATATCTCAGATTTGTTACTTTTGTATTTTTTATTTACGTTTATTATATTTGATCATTTTTCATTTCCATATTTTATCTTATTTTTTTCCTATTTATTGAATATTTTCTTTTTTTTTTTATCATATTGTATTTTTCTTTTTTTTCATTTCATGAAATCTACTTTTTTATCATATTTGATCCCATATTATCTATATTTTTTATATCTTGTTTTTCATACTGTGGACCTCTCATCCTCCCTCCAGCTGTCGGCCTTGGTGTGTGGTTTCGTGTTGCGTTTGTTCTCAGCTCTGCAGGATCAGGACTTCCTGCAGCAGCTGATCTCTGCCGGACTCCTGGTGCAGTTTGAAGCTCTGCTCAGCACCTATGGTACACACACACACACACACACACACACACACACACACACACACACACACACACACACACACACACACACACACACACACACACTGTCTGCAGTCTAACGAGTGTGTGTGTGTGTGTGTGTGTGTGTGTGTGTGTGTGTGTGTGTGTGTGTGTGTGTGTGTGTGTGTGTGTGTTAGGTGAGGAGGTGGGCATGCTGGAGGACATGGAGGTGTGTGTTTCCGATCTGAGCCGAGTGACGTTCACCATCATCGAGGCAAAGAGCGAAGAACCAGAAGATCTGCTGCCAACACTGAGAGGAGAATGGTGGGTCACACACACACACACACAAACACACACACACACACACACACACACACACACACACACACACACACACACACACACACACACACACACACACACAGCCTCTCACAGTGTTTCCTCCTCTCAGGGTCAGTCTGGTGGTCGAGGTGCCGCTGCCTCCGGAGACGTTTCGCTCGTTGCCGCAGGAAGTGAGAGACGGACGTTTGATCCGAGTTCATCCGGTCCTCTTTAACATCGGAATAAACCAGCAGCAGAGTCTGGCTGAGAGGTACACACACTTTAATACACCCATTAAAAAACAAGATAATAATATTTGAATTAATATAAACTTAAAAGAGTGTTTGTGGTTGTAGGTTTGGGGACAGCTCTCTGCAGGAGAGAGTGAACCAGCAGAGCTGCGAGCGCCTGAGAGTTTACTGCAACACGCTGAGAGACACGCTGCCCGTGACAGGTAACACACTCTGAGCGAGATTATTATAACATTTTTATTTATTATTTTTATTTTTGACATGATGCACATTTTCCAGAATTGTTCAGAAAGTATTTCAGATTTTTTCTTAATTTCTCGGATTTTTAAAAATTATTCTGAATTTTCCTTAATTTGTTCTTGATTTTTCTTAATTTTTGTTAGTTACTAAAATTCTCAGAATCTTCGTTTGATTTTTCAGAGTTTCAGTTTTTTTTTCTTAATTTCCTGATTTCTTTTAAGATTTTTTGTAAATTCTTCTTGATTTTCTGATATTTTTCTGAATTTTCCATATTC